CGAAAGTGTTGTCAGGTGGCCACGGACGAGGAAGGATGGACCGACAAAGCCCAAAAGCGATCTGTATTGTCGATTCCACAAGGACTACGGGCATAATACCGACGAATGTCGCACCTGAAGAATGAGATCGAGAGACTAATCAAAGCAGGCCATCTGAAAGAGTTCGTTTACAAAGATCGAGATCGAACCAGTCGGCGAAGGGAGAGGAGCAAGAGTCCCCGCAAGAGAGCGAGGACACCCGACAAGGAGGAGCTCCCTCAGAAAAGAGGAGTAATTCACATGATATTTGGAGGACTGACTGATGGAGATTCAAATCGGGCCAGAAAAGCATATGCTCGAGGACACCGTGGAAAAATTAAAGTGCAACAGGTCGAGGAAAACGGTCCAGTGATGAATTTTGGGCCAGCAGACATGGGAGAAGTCGAGAGACCTCACAATGATGCCCTAATGATCACAGCTCAGATATAAGGCTATGAAGTGCAGAGGATATTTGTCGACACGGGAAGTTCGGTGAATGTGATCTTTTACAATTGTCTCAAACGGATGGAACTCGACATCGAGCTTGCACCCCTGCACGCCTCCCTTTTTGGGTTTAATGGTTCGGAAGTCGCCCCCCTAGGAGAAACCACGCTCCCTGTCGTCCTTGGGGAAGGCGACTTGAGGAAGGTAAAGATGGTGCGATTTGTTGTAGTCGACGTCGAGTCGGCTTATAACGTGATCCTAGGAAGGCCGATGCTCAATGCATTTCAGGCGGTGGTGTCGACCTACCACATGAAGCTATAGTTCCCCATCAGAGATAAAGTAGGGGAGGCCCGAGGAGACCAGAGACTGTCAAGAACCTGTTACCAGATAGTAGTGAGAATGAACCAACGAACGGAAGAAAATGAAGGGAAAAAGTCGATGTCAAATGAAAAGAGACAAAGGTAGAACGACCTTAGGCCGCACGGAGAATTGATGGAAATTCAAATCGGGGAAAAAGAGGAGCAGACCACTAAAATAGGGGGAGAATTGGAAGATGAGTTGCGTCGACAGTTGGTGGGGCTATTGAAAGAATTCAGAGACATATTTGCTTTTTCCCCTGAAGAGTTGACGGGAATCGATCCCGATGTCATGGAACATAAACTTAATGTTGACCCCCTGAAAAGCCCGTGAAGCAACGGCTTAGGCATCATGGGGCGGAGATCGATAAAGCAATTGAGGTCGAGGTGGATAAGTTACTGAAAGCCAAACATATCAAAGAAATTAAATTCCCAGAATGGATATCGAACACAGTGATGGTAAGAAAAGCGCTAAATAAGTGGCGCATGTGCATTGATTTTCGCGATTTAAATTTAGCTTGCCCAAAGGATCACTACCCCCTACCAAGAATCGACCAGTTGGTCGACTTCACAGCTGGCTGTCAATTGTTGAGTATGATGGACGCATCCCAGGGATATCACCAAATCCCGTTGGCTCTGGATGATCAAAGAAAAATGAGTTTCGTGACGAGCAAGGGGACGTATTTTTATGTCGTTATGCCTTTCGGGCTTAAAAACGCAGGGGCAACATATCAGAGGTTAATGGATCGAATGTTCAAATTGCAGATCGGGCGAAATATGGAAATTTACGTGGACGATATCTTGGTGAAAAGTAGGTCCTCGATCTCACATGTGGAGGACCTGAGAGAAACATTTACGACACTAAGAACATTTGGAATGAAGCTAAACCCAAGTAAGTGCGCCTTTGGAGTAAGGGCAGGACGATTCCTGGGCTATGTCATTACTGAGAGAGGCATCGAGGTAAATAAGGACAAAGTGCAAGCCATACTCGACATGGCCCCGCCAAAAAATGTTAGAGAAGTGCAAGTCCTGACAGGTCGAATTGCAGGCCTAAGTCGGTTCATAGCTCGAGCTGCGGAAAGGAGTTTCCCATTCTTCAAGTTACTCAAGAAAAAAGCTTTTCAGTGGAATGACGAGGCTCAAATGGCGTTTGAAAAGTTGAAGGAGTTTCTGAGCGAGCTACCGTTGTTAACAAAGCCAGAGCCGGGCGACGAGTTGGTGCTCTACATCTCGGTGGGAATATTTTCTCTAAGTTCTGTATTACTGCGAGAAACTGGAGGGGCCCAACAGCCGATCTACTATACAAGTCGAGTACTTCAAGGCGCAGAAGCGAGATATTCCGAAGTCGAGAAGGCCGCATTAACATTAGTAATCACAGCCA